TAATTTGTTGATCCACATGAGAATCCACACAGGCGAGAAGCCGTCTTCCTGTAAAACATGCGGGGAAATGTTCAGGTGTCACAGTCATTTGTGGCGCCACAATAAAATTCACACGTGGCAAAAGTCTTAGAGACAAACTGTCTGTGAAGCCGAGGCTGATAAATATCCATCCGAGGATTCACAGAATCTCAGAGCAGAGCTTCCAGGTTTACAAACCTTCACACTGCTCCATCACTTTATTACATGTCACACGGTGTGAGATCAGTCTAACAACAGATGTGTCAGCCTGCAGAGTCTCGTGGAGGCTTTTAAATGCTCAAGTGAAAACACGGTGAAGGTCTTTTATTTAAATTGTACTTTGGAAAAAGTCAAATTTAAAGGTCTTTTGAATGAAATATTAAGTTTGCTTTTTCTGTGTATGTTTGTACTGTCAGGCAGATTAGATCCCTGAGCTCGGCTCCAGTTAAAGGCCGAAAATCCAGCCTCCATGGGCGTCATGTAACACAGAGCTTTAACAGAGTCTTCTGTATGTATAAAGTCCAAAACCTTTGTGCCTGCTTCACTTTTATCAGATGTTTGCTCTTCTCTCTCACTCAGACACACACACACACACACACACACACACACACACACACTCAGACACACACACACACTCAGACACACACACACACACAGAATCCAGGTTGAAAGGTTTAAATATTATTATTATTTCATTGCAGCAATTCTTTTTCAGTTTTATTGATTCAGAATCAGAACTGGAAACTGCATGTGAACTATGTAGAGTACGAGAGGGGGAACTGTGTTTCTAATCGAGATGATAAGAAGTCCGGTTAAAATTATACAAACTGAATTATGTTGAATAAATGTAACTAATAAAGAAACGTTTGCTGCAGAGGGAAGTAGAGAGAGAACACCAGGGTGCGGCTCGTCATCAAATGATTGGATATAATTGGATGATGACATGAGGGAAAAGTGGAGAGGACTATCAAACTCTTTCTGGTTAATGATTGGTCATTATTTCATCTGGATTTTGTTGCAGTGTACTGACTGAAAGATCCAGGATCACACATGTAGGAGCCTAAATGCATGCGCTTCAACATATAAAGAAACATTCCTGAGCTAGAAGCCAATGACATTTAGATGAGGAAGCTCCTGACCATGCACAGAGGGTTTCACCCAAAGCCCAGCACCCTGTGACTGTATGCTACGGTGTTACGGCCCTAGCAGGGCCTCCTCCTGAAGGTGCCTGTGTGGGCGTGTCCCACCACCTCTTCTGCCTGAGGTGCCACCTTTCCCTTTTGTGCAGCTGACTCTCGTCAGTAGTTAAGGAGATTTAAGCCCAGGGAAAGGTGAGCTCTGGGCCAGAGTGCCCTTAGTGTGTTTGCAGCTTGTGAGCTGCACTCTTTTTGACTTACTTTGTGCTTTATTGACTAACATTTGAGTTTCGTTTGTTTTCTTAAATGGTGATAGCGGCTTGTCTGTCTCTTTTAGTTGAGCTATTTTAATAAAACTCTTTAATTTAACCCTGTTGCCTCCTTGGCTCCTTTTTCTGACCTGGACACTTATTGTTACTTCCCCCTCACCGCCTGGACCCTTTTAGGGGAACGTAACATACGGGAAGAAAGCAGAAACCCAAGAAAAAGGAGCAAGAGGACAAACCATCATGGAAGGACAGGCCCCTGCACGGTATGTACCACCGGCAGATAGAGGAGGTGGCTGATACCCAGAAATCCTACCAGTGGCTGGACTGAAAGACAGCACAGAGGCACTAATCATGGCAGCACAGGAACAAGCTCTGAGCACAAGAGGCTGGGGTCTGTCACAGCAGGAGAGACCCCAGGTGCAGGCTGTGTAAAGATGCTTTCTTTTGTCCTCGCTAAATTGCTTTTATAAATGATCCTGTCTGCATTTAAAGTTAAGCTGGTGTACATTACCTTTGATATCATTCAATTAGACTTATCTTCTCATATAAAACAGTGTACAGAATGACAAATGGTTTCTCTTTTTTACTGTAAAAGCTGAGTTTTAAAGGTTTTCATATAGGAAATCTTTACAATTTGTACAATACAGAATTTATCATCAACTAGCAACGATGTTTCCTCCTGACTGTTGATGCTGATATAAAGTGTTGGTTTGTGGTTGATGTGGATTTGCTGCTCATGTGAATCCTCCCACAGTGTTTCATTAGCAGCTGTAACCACAGTGACTCTGATAAAACAGGAATTAGCAGAATCCATCTGATATGAAGCTGTGCTTTGAATACCACTTCCCTCCTCTTTGAAGAGCAGTCAGATATCTGTGTTCAGGTTTTTGTACAGCCTCTTCTACACTTTGTATCACTGTGTTTGTAGAGCACAGTAGTAGAGAGCTGTGTCTGCCAGGGTTAGGGCTGCTATGGTCAGATTAGTTGTTGTAGGTGAGGTTTCTGAGTCATAACGTTTATCAGGAATATATTCAGCTGTCCATCCTTTTCCTTGTTTCCAGAGTATAAACTGAGGAGCCTGAAGGTCAGAATCATGTCTGTACCAGTGAAGGCGTGGGTAACTTGCATCTGTCTCATAGCTACATGTGAGTGTGACAGATTCTCCTTCTGTTTTAGTGACTTCAGGTTGTTGAGGAGTGATTGAGTCTCCAGCTGTTAGTCCTGGAAAAAGAAAGAAGAAAAGTAGTGAAATGCAGTCTGTATATCTGCTTAATGCAGCAGCTTCAACTAAACTTTAATCCCTGTTCTTAAACTCACCTATAATGTGAGATAGAAGCAAAAAGAGGTGCAGCAACATGTCTTTGGAGTTATTAAAGCCAGACAGACAGCACATGAACAATGTTCTTCCACTGCAGCACAATGACCAACAAATAATGTCATTGGATGAGCTCAGGTTCAGTGGGTGGGGCCAGTTTAATAGCTCAGCCAATCAAACAGTTTTGTGCTTCCACAGCAGCTCTGTCTCTGTCTCTGATCTTTACTGCTTCATTTCTCTGTTGTCTTTGTCATCAGTCACACAAGAATCAGAGGTTTAACAGTGTGTGGCTCCCTCTAGTGGATGTTGTGGAGTATTCTGTTGTCTTTGCTCCAAAGGTTTTTGTACAGAGTTTTGCTGTTTCCTGTCACTGTGGGCCTCAGAGCACAGTAGTACACAGCAGAGTCAGACACTGCAGCAGAGGAGATCTGAAGGTCCAGACGGTTTTTTCCAGACAGTTTTGTGGAGAATCTTGCAGCTGATTTCAGAAACTCTGACGGTCTTGAATTGTTCGTCCCTGATATGTGGATCAGGAACTCTGGCGGTTTCCCTGGATATTGTCGATACCAGAAGAAATAATCATTAATTATAATATCTCTGGATAATCTGTAGGACAGAGTGAGAGTGTTTCCTTCTACAGTGGACTCTTCATCCTTGACTGCAGTGAGTTGATCACAGCTGACACCTAAAGGAAGAGATAAATGTTGTTAAAGACGATGTTAAACTGTGAGCGCCTGTTCCAGTGATTTCTAGCAAACAGATCCTTTAAAGACATTTCTTCTTCCTGCTTTAACCGACCTGTTAGTGTGATCACAAACAAAGGAAACATGAGCCAGTAATGCAGTGACAGCATCTTCCACACACTATCTGTTCTGTATGCTTCACATATTGAATGTATCTGACAGTGGGAGTCCTTTTCTGCTCTGTGACAGTGTTGCTCCTCCTTCAGCCTCTTCCTCCTCTCATATCACTATATTAGTTTTTTTTTTTTCTTATAAAACTTGATCTAAACCCATCTGAAGGCCTGAAGGTCACTAACAGTCAACATTGATTTCTAGCCTCATCTTTTGTGTGCATTTTGCATTTTTCCTAACATAAAGTGAAATGTTTTGGAAATGCCTTTTAGCTTTAGTTTTTAAGATCATGGGATAAACCTAAAACACAATCTCCAAAAGAATACTGCCTACAACAGACTGCTCAATGTGTGGTTGTAAATAAAGTTCTCACTTGTAGAACTCAGCATCTCAGTCTGTTGTACGAGTCAATAAACATCTTTAGCTTTGACATAACCGGTTATAGTTGATGTTATTCTGTCAGTCTGGTAAAGTTTCGTGCAGGCTACACTGGTTAGTTTTCAGTGAAATTTACAGTGATGCTCGATGTTTGACTGCTGCAGAGCAGCTGCGGTGTTCATGGTCAATGGTAAATTACACTGAGAGCAGCAGACATCAATTTACATTAAAGATGTTGATGCTGTTTAAATTCACTTTGAATTTACCTGTTTATAACAGGTTGATAGTGTCCAGGGGTCGCAAATCAGCGACAGCTTGTGTAACATCTGTTTCTGCTCCTGGACCTGGGGGAGGATGGATGATTGTAGCTGCTCGATACTCGAGTATTCTTTATGGTTTCTTTTGCTTTATGAGGCTCCAGATGTTCTCAGCTAGTAAAACGTCTGGACTGCAGGCTGGCCAGTTCAGCACATGGACTCTACAAGTACGCTGCTGGTTCCACTGAGGCACCACCATTATCTGAGATGCAGGTGTTTGAACTCTGCGCTGATAATGAGCGGGTTGCCCCCCCTTTAGTCTAATAACACATCCACAGTTGCCAAAAAAAAGTTCAAATTTGAAACAATGGTCCAGAGAAGATTGCTTTGCATGATGGAGCTTTAACCTGCATTTGGACACACAATCTGTAACTGTGAACAGTTTTTAATTTGTTAAAATCTAAAACCAGTCTGTCCTATATCCCGTCTCTGCTGGGATTCTGTTCTGCCGTCACTGGTAAGTGTGAGTATCATCATCTAGAAACTGAATGTCTTCTTATGGCAACTTGCGCTGATACTGAATAAGGCCCCACAGTTCACCCTGCATACCAGGCCAAACATCAAGCTATGAATATAAAAGCTTGTTAAGCACATGACTTTTCATAAAGCTGAACATCTTGGCAAACTCAAAACATCCTTGAGATGTTTGTATGAGACATTTTAAGATGAGCCTCTACCTTAAAAGTCAAATCAGAGAAATAAATGTACAAAAGTCAGAACCAACATAAGCTTTACTGTAGACTTCAAATGAAAGTTACAAGAAATATGAGGCAGAAGAAATAAAACTGCACAGAGTGTTAATGATCTGAGGTCTGAGTGTCTCTGGTATGCTTGATTATTGCCATGGTAATGGGCTTGGAGACAAGTTGGTTGCCAAGGACAGCAGCAGGGTGAGTATCCAGCTGCTCGGACATAACGGGAACCTGGCTGAAGTGGCGTCGAGCTTGTGTGTGTTTGCGTTCGATCTCGTGGATTAACGTTGTGTCGTATGTCTGAACACACAAACACACACAGGCTTAGAGAATTCATCAAGGGTCCCTGCTGCACAAAGTGCTTAACAATGTAAAATGCCACCAAAACAAATAAAATGTAAAACAATCAAATGTACAATTACAGTGTAAATATGTAAGCTTTGTACAAAGCTAAGAACAACATTGGAGCCAGAAACATGAGCAGGTGCTGCGCCAAAAACCATCCGTAACGGAACGAGTCAACAGCTCTGGTCTGATGGCTTCAGGCTCTGGATACATGTCAAACCGCAAAACGTGTAATAGGCACGCCGTCCATCGTGTCCATTTCACACTTTACCTCTCCAAAACATGAAATGGACACGTATGCAGAAGTTGCATTACCAGCAGGGCGAGATAATATATAATATATTTAAAGCCAAGAAGTCGGTAATGAGCAAAAAGTGCCAATAAGTACATTCCAAGGTCCTAAATCGTCAGAATCGATTAAGCTAGGGACTAATATGTATTTACATGTAAATGTGTTGCTGTCTGTTTAAATTTTCATGTTGGCTGGAAATAAAATATCTCCCTCTGTTGCTGTTACTGCAACTTGCTGTAACTTCTGCATGCGTGAACACTTCACGTTTTGGACGGGCAAAGCGTGAAATGTAGGCGGTGGACTGGACGTGGTAGCATTAAGGAGGTCGATTCAGAAGTGAAACAGAGTCAGAGTTCCTTCTAGTGGAAGCTGAGAGGGGCTGTCCTAATACGGACTTTCTCTCAACAAAAGATAAATTGATATTATTCAGACATGTACAGACCGTGTGGACGTCCTCCACCTCTAAGTGAGCTGAGGTCTCTTCTTTGGACAGCAGAATGCAGTTCCAGGGGCTCCAGTCCTTCTGACGATCCCACCGAACAAACGCCAGGTTGTAGAGATCGATGTTGGCGCTGAGGGCCGACCGGGACGCCCACACTGCTTCCACCAAGTACTGCATGTCTTGCACCTGAAACGATGAAGATGGCAGACTTCTGTAGACAAAAGAGTGAAATCAGTGGAGCTGTTCATTATACACAATGAAAGCAGTTCACCTTCAGCAGGAAGGGGATCTTAGCTTCTGCGTTGAGCCTCTGCTCGTCGGCTCTCAGCCTCATCAGGATGCTTTTGTAAAAGGTGAAGTCATGGCGAGATCTGGCTATGTTGTTGAGTCTGGCGCACTGGCGGCACTGGCGATTCGGACTGCCGCTGGCCGACATAATGAAGTCCGTGAGGCGCAGGTAACGATGACAGTATTGGCAGAGTATCATGTCATTCTTCAGCTGGGAAGGATTCTGGGGAACCTGGGGCAGATTTTTAATTTTACATATGAAATCATATTTGAGATTGTGCCAAACACGTGAGATGAGGAGGGATGGTCGCTCACCTTCAGCAGCTTGGCCACCTCAGGGTTGAAAGCTGGAGTTTTGATGTACTGAAGTAACAGAGTACAGATCCTCTTCCTCAGGCCCTCCAACTTGGCTGATTTGACCCCTCGAGTCATCAGGTCTACCTCCCTGTCAACCAAATCCACGATGTCCCGGGTCAGCGCACACTCCTGCTCCTGTCCAATGAGCATGGAAGAAAGAAAATTTCAGCGCAACCGCACTGCTCATGTAAAACAGATATTTACAGTATTTTGATGTACGTACGTATCTCCAGGTCAGTAAAGTTGATGTGTCAAATTATGAACAAGGCAACACAAAGCACAGACTTTTATTCTGAAGGGCACTACTTGTCTGAGCTTCATATCGTGAGCTTCATATCGTGAGCTTCATATATTTGGCATTTTAATAATAATAATGGATTGGATTTATATAGCGCTTTTCAAGGCACCCAAAAGCACTTTACAACGCCACTCTCGCATTCACACACTGGTGGAGGCTACAGTTGTAGCCACAGCTGCCCTGGGGCAGACTGACAGAAGCGAGGCTGCCATATCGCACCATCACCAGTAGACGGTAGGGGAAAGTGTCTTGCCCAAGGACACAGCGACCAGGACAGAGAGCCCGGGGATCGAACCGGCGACCTTCCGGTTACAGATACGCTTCCCAACCCCCTGAGCCACGGTCGCAGTAAATAGTTTTCTGTTGAATGTGTACACTTCTGTAATAGTCAATGTTTTGGTTATGAAAAGGTTGTTTTATTCTAAAAATAACACTTTTGACCAAGAAGTGAAACTCATGAGATTCAGAGTGACACAGTGAAACATTCAAAGGGGAAAAAACTGAAGCTCCCAGAGGAATGAACCCAGTAACCTCTCACCGTGCAGGCAGTGGTCCTAACCACTGAGCCTCAGGACTCATTTATGCTATGAACCGTGCGCGATTCACTTCCACTTATCTTTGATAAAAACGTAACAGCATGAGCAGCTGACCAACTGCTACAAGGCTGAAATGTTGTGTCTCAGTCTGACCTGTTTGTGCTCAGCGAGTCCCTGCTTTCCTGTCCCCTCCCCATGACTACGTTACTGAATAAGGCAAAAGGCCCCAAAATAATATAAATAATAACAGGACGACATCAGAGTACCGTTAGCTGTGAAAGAACTGTGTGTGTTTTACCTTGACAGTGTGTTTCAGTGTCATGAGGAAGTGGAGCCTCTGCTCCTGGCTGACGGTGGTCAGGCTGATGCTGTTGTACAGATCTCGCAGCTCTCGGGCTCTGATGGTGTTCTGAGTTTCAATCTCAATCAGACGACCGTCCGCTGCTCGCCTTTGATGAGGAGACGCAGACTGGAGCAGATACAGCACAGTGTCAGTACCTGTGAGACCGAACGCTCCTCTGAAGTTTGCTCTGAGCATCCCACAGTCACCCCAGCGTTTACGGAGAAACCAGAGACTGTATATAAAAGATGGCTGTAGCCACCAAGGTCTCACCCAAGTCCTGTTTTAAAGTTGAGTGTTTCTGTGATCACCGTGTGGGTGGGGATCTGACTCGAAACTAAGGGACCCTCTATTTTCACAAACCATCCTACTTTGGCAAAACGTCCTACCGTAAGTAGTTTATGCACATTTCTGCTGTCACAGAGTAATTCCAGCAAATTTACGCAGGTATGACGGTTTGCCACTTCACGTTGCCCATCAGAGTATGCTGTAGCCCATAATCATAAAGCCAGGACGCTTTGCCACTTCATTTTACCCGTTAAAGTATGTTTCTAGCTCATATTCACAAGGGTAGGGCAGGTCGCCACTTAATTTCGTGTTGTGCGCATGTGTAGAAACAACGGGTAGGATGGTTTGTCGGGTAGGATGGATTCCCAGAACACCCTCCACTCTTGGACAGTCACTAAGGAAAGAGTGCAAGGTCTCTCCGATTCCAACGAGGATACGTTAAATAAAGACTGATCAGGAAAGTCTTTCCTAATCAAGTGAGCCAAACGAGTCATTTCTTTAAACTCCTGCAGAACTAAACTGTTTTTTTTTACAAGCAGAGGAGTCGCCCTCTGCTGGCCATCGGAAAGAATGCAAGATCAGGTTTTCAAACTTAGAAGCTATGCCTCATAACACATGTCAGTACAGCATAAAATATTAGATCTGTGGCCAAAAATTTGCTTTACATTATGTAAAGAAAGCTGAGATTCTACCGGCACACTTTTAGATTCTGGTTGCGATCGATGATTCACAACGAACAACAAGCTTATTGTCACATTTGGTGTGAAACACCATAAGAAACCCAAACATTACTGACAGCATTAGAATCTCTTTGGAACATCGTGCTACAAAAGCATGTGATGAGAGTGCTTGTAAGTGTAGCAAGCAGCCTTGCACTGACTGAAGTGCCGTGAATAAGAATGAAACAGGCTCCACCTTGTATTAAACATCTTCTAACGAGCACCGCAACAAACTGAAGGTGCGTAAAATCCAAATCAAATTAAGATGATGTGACTACACACATAACCATGGTTCTCTTTTTGTGTTTAATGATGACTTTCATTTGCATATAAAAGATAAATTATGAAATTGGGTTGAGAGCTGGAGTAGAGTAGGTGGAGCGACCTCTGACCTTGTCCAGGAAGTTCCTGACAGCTTTGTCGTAGTTGTCGCTGTGAACGGCGATGTGATGGCGTCCGATAGCAGCAATGAGATCCATCTCCTGGTCCAGCAGCGCGCAGAGAGCTGCTTTCCTCTCAGCTCCTCGCAGGGACGAGCTGATCCTCTGCTCCTCCTCGTTCCTCCACTCTGAGACACACAAAGTTAAATACGTAACTGCTCTGCTGCATTCACAGACATAAAGCGGGGAACTCCTCCTGCCCCTAAAGCCTACTCTCCAGAGCTTGGTACAGCAGGTTGAAGTCCTCCTGCCTCTTCGGATTCAGCCAGCGGTTTCGGCGGTCTCTCAGCTGCTCCTCTTTCTCCTCGTTCCTCCTCCTTTCCTGCATCTCCAGCCAGGCCAACCGCCGGGCTCGCTCCTTCCGCAGGTGGTCCACCGCCTGCTGGGCCAACCAGCGCCGAGCAAACGTCTGCAGACGGATCACCTGGGTGTGTGACGGGTCATATACTTAGTCCCACTAAATGTATTTTTTATATTTAGTGGGACTGAATTGACTGCATATATGATAACTACACACACAAACTGCTCTTCATCTTCTGTGATGCAGAACGAGACTGAAGACATCGAAACCATTTCAAACACCAAAAATCTGAAAGTTCAAACACCGTGAATCCCCGAGATGAAGAAGCAGAGCAAGACTTCACTGTAACACAGAGGGCCAGCAGCCTGAAGCCTCAGAAATCTGAGCATGTGTTCCCACCATAAAGCATGCTGAGCTCTAACAGCGCAGCATTGCTGGTCACATTTCTATTCAGAAGCCAAGGCAACACTGAATCATCACTCGCACTATGAAGCTCAAATGTGTTATTTCCTAGTTTTGATATCTTCAGTTTTGTTCTACAGAGCTGGAAACAGCATGAAAGAGCAGGTGTGTCCAAACACTTGGTACAGCAGGTACTCAGAAACACTGCATTGCAACCACACACGCTCAGTGTACACTCACAGCTCTCAGCCTCCGGTCGTGGTGCTCATCAGCAGTGGTGTAGGTCCCTGGAGTCACCAACCTGTCGTTCATGCAGGAGACGTAGCAGCCGATGCCAGTCATCTGGGTGGAGGCACTGACTGGACACTGCTGAGCCTGAGACTTCAGCTCTACTGTCTGAAACAGAGAAAACAAACTAAATCAGGGGCTGACTGGCTTTAAGAGCAACATCTTTAAACATGTAGACAAAGTTAATACCAAAAAATGTGAAAGTTGTGTGAGGAGCTTCCGGCCTGCAGACAGACCTCGTGACTTTGTTTTGTTTGACTCGGCTGGGTTTTGTTTCAGTGTGGTTAATGGAAGGTTTTTAATAAATAATAAGATTACTGTAATGTTAATCTCATTGACATTGGGTGTAATAGTACTCGAGTAGTAACTAAAACTGAATTCAAACTGAAATTAAGTAAGTATTGACTGTGATGGGATAAATGAAAGGAATAAGAAAAGATCCCCTGTGAGGTAAAACTGACAGAAAGCTGCAGCACTGACCATATAAAACCTCGAGTGTGGAGAGTTTAAGAGATTTTAACCAAAAAAAGTAGATGAATGTTTAAATGAGCACATCAGCTGAGCGCTGTAATCCTCAGAGGTGTTTGTCTCTGTTGGTCCAGGGAGCTCATTACACTCGCTGCTTATCTCTAGAATTACATTGTTTAATTTGAACATGAAGTCTGGGCGTCCTGTGCCGATCTTTTTCATTATTTATGTAAAGACTTATTTAGTCCCAGTTTTGACTCTGATATAAACTGTGGTGCTTTTGAAGCTGTTTTCTGTACCTGTGTGTCGCGGCTGAAGACCGCCACTCCTCTATCGGGTCTCCTCTTGGGCAGCGTCTGGACTGCGGCGTGATGGTACTCCAGCCCCGTCAGCCGATGCCTGTAGCCACCGAGGAAGGCTTTCTGATGGCGTGGGCGCTCAATCTCCACCACCACCTCCTGAAGCACCCCCCCATCTGAGAGACAATGACTGAAGGTTTTTCAAAGACGGCATATCTTTGTATGGAAATCTTTAGCTTGGCACCAGGATTAAACCAGGTCTGGCAAACTTGTTTAGCTAAAAGTCGGTTCAAATGAATGCACGTCACATTATGAGGATTCTCTCTTATCCTTATCTTTACAGTGTTATTTCCTATGGAGTCTTGTAGTTTTATATAAATCAGATGTAACTCGTGATTTCTTAGTGCTTTCATGTCTAATGGAAGCACTTTGTGTATACGGACAGGTAGCAGCTTGTGTATTCGTACCTGCTTCAACTTGGACGGTGATAACATCGGGCATGCTGTCGTGCTCTAGGGGGCGAACAGGGCGGAGTGGGTGGAAGCTTGGGTCAGTGGAGCTCATTTCCATCCGGGTGGAGCTGTGAGGCCTGACGCCGAGCTCCATCAGACTCTTGTGTTCCTCCACCGCTCTGCCTAAAAACACACTGACCCGTTAATCTGTATCCACACAGGCAGCAGCTCGCAGCGACTTGGTGACCAAACATCATAGGAAATGAAAAAAACACTCCTCTCAACTTGAAGGCAAATAACTGAAGCAACTACCAGTCAGGATACTAGTGACTGTCATATGGCAGGACAGTAAAGACTTTGTAGGGTTATCTAGACAACTGACACCTATGTCCACTAGTCGTCATCTTCAAAGTGCGACTCTGTAGAAAAACTTGTGGAAGTAAGGCAAGTTTATTTATAGAGCACAATTCAACAACAAGGTGATTCAAAGTGCTTCACAGAGACATTAGAAACAAAAACTAATAAAAAGCAGGATTTAAGATTGATTAAAACAAGCAAAAGATAAAATCAGTAGTTAAATGTAAGTTTTGAAATTTAAGCTTAAAGTGTGGATTTGGTGCTTTATTCAAATGCAGCTGAGAACAGGTGAGTCTTCAACCTGGATTTAAATAAACTGAGTGTTTCAGCTGATCTGAGGCTTTCTGGGAGTTTGTTCCAGATATAAGGAGCATAAAAGCTGAATGCAGCTTCTCCGTGTCTGGTTCTGACTCTGGGAACTGATAAAAGACCGGATCCAGATGAGCTGAGGGATCTGGAAGGTTCATACTGGGTCAGGAGAAAGAAACGAACCGTCCAGAGAGATCTGAAGCACGTCTGCTGGGACTCGGAGCTCTGAGGCGAGGTGACGCTTCAGCTCGTGAATGCTGAGCTCGATAGCAAACGCCACCGTCATCACGTGGCCCTCCGGCACCAGCACCACCTTGACTGCAACCACACACAGAGACACAGAGGTGCTATCGAGTCTGGCCGTGCTCAGTCACAATCCAGACAAACAGCATTTCAGTATTTCTCCCCTCCAGTGTAATAAAACCTTTGATGTGAGTTGCGCCACACGAGTCTCTGCTGCTGTGAAAAAGGTCACATTCTCTTTATTCCTGAGTATTTATCCGAACACTGTCAGGAGCTCCAGCCCACCTGGACTCACCTGAAGCCGAGCTGCCGGACCTCACCTCCTCTCCTCCCGGCTCCCCGCCGTCCTCCTCCGCGGTGTCTCCGCCTGGCTCTGTGTTTGTTTCTTTCTGCTCTTGGTTTCCTCTTTGCGCCGACATGACAGATTTCAGTGACTGAACTAAACTACAGCTCCTGTTATGATTGAAAATGATACAAAAGCCTTTCAAACGTCAGGTTTGAAGACCGGGCGCGTTGCGCTTTTCTGTATTTAACGACATTATGTGTCAACCTGGAGCGAACTGCATTAACTGGTTTCCACGCAAAAGCAGTGTTTACATGTTGCTATAGCAACGACTAGCAGTCACTTCCTGTTGGAAGCAGAGTCAGAGGATTTTGTCCCTCTCATTGGCGCGTGTTTGGGTCAGATAAAAAAAGAGTACACCACAAACTTCACTGAAATGAAACCTCATTAAAATAAAAATCTGAAACTATTGTCTAAGAAAATGATCATTCACGTCAATCACAATGACTCCTGGTTGTCAATCACAGACCACTAAAACGAATAGAATAGAATAGAATAGAATAATCTTTTAATTGTTTGGTTGTAACAGCAGGACACACACACACACACACACACACACACACACACACACACACACACACACACACACACACACACACACACACGTGTCTATATACACATTACACATACGTACACAAAGCTGTGTAAACCAACTGTAAATAACGAATCTAAACTTATATACATAAAATACAGAAATGAATGAGGTGGAATGAATACTACAAAATGTACATAAGGTGCAGTTGCAGCCTGGCAGTGTGACAGGTCAACTGTTAAGAAGGGAGATGGCGAGGGGAAAGAAACTGTTCCTGTGTCGGGTGGTCCTGGTCTGCAGGCTTCTGTACCGTCTGCCAGAGGGCAGCAGATCAAAAAGTCTGTGTGCAGGGTGTGAGGGGTCTGCGATGATTTTCCCTGCCCGTTTCCTGGTTCTTGAGAGGTACAGATCCTGGATGGAGGGCAGGGGGCGCCGATGATTCTTTCTGCTGCCCGTACAGTCCGCTGCAGTCTGCTCCTATCCTGTTTAGTGGCTGCACCATACCAGACTGTGATGGAGGAGCACAGGACAGACTCAATGACCGCAGTGTAGAACTGGATCAGCAGCTCCTGTGGGAGACTGTACTTCCCCAGTTGTCTCAGGAAGTACATCCTCTGCTGGGTCTTTTTGAGGATGGAGTTGATGTTGGTCTCCCACTTCAGGTCCTGGGAGATGGTTGTACCCAGGAACTTGAAGGTCTTCACAGTTGACACAGGGCTGTCTGATATGGTGAGGGGAGCAGAGTTGAGGGATGTCTCCTGAAGTCCACTGTCATCTCTACAGTCTTAAGAGTGTTCAGCTCCAGATTGTGCTGACTACACCAGAGTACCAGCTGCTCAACTTCCTGCCGGTATGCAGACTCATCACCATCTTGAATGAGGCCAATGACAGTGGTGTCATCTGCAAACTTTAGGAGTTTGACAGCAGAGTTACTGGAGGTGCAGTCGTTAGTGTAGAGGGAGAACAGTAGTGGTGAGAGGACACATCCTTGAGGGGCACCAATACTGAGGGACTGGGTTTCAGAGGTGATCTCCCCCAGCCTCACTTGTTGCTTTCTGTCTGTCAGGAAGCTGGCGATCCACTGACAGGTAGCTGGTGACACGCTGAGCTGGGAGAGTTTGGGGGAAAGAAGTTCAGGCACAATGGTGTTAAAAGCCGAACTAAAGTCCACAAACAGGACCCTGGCATAAGTTCCCGGGCGGTCAAGGTGTTGCAGGATGTAATGCAGCCCCATGTTCACTGCATCATCCACCGACCTGTTTGCCCGGTAGGCAAACTGCAGAGGGTCCAGCTGGTGGCCTGTAATGTCTTTCAGATATTACAGTACAGTTATTAAAGTTACATAAAATTAAATACAGATAAGAGGCGAACCCAGGTTGCAGTGTGAATCAGTTGAAGCGCTGATGTAAACCTCTCTGTTGGGAACAGTTCTGATTGTGCAGTCTGGCAGCTGCAGGGAGGAAGGACCTGCTGAATCACTTCTTCATCCATTGAGGACGCAGCAGTTTGTCACTGAAGGAGCTCTGTAGTTCAGCAACATTTACATGCATGGGGTGGGAGACTCTGTCCATCAGAGATGTTATTTTGGCCAGAGTCCTTCTGTCTCCCACCACCTGCACTGGGTCCATTCGGTGTGTAACACTGCCAAAACAATGCACCACTATGTAGTTTTCAAAACTGGCAGATAAACTGATGTCTGTCTGAACGGTGTTGAAACACCTTTGTAGATATTAGGGAAGTTTTCTGGCGAAAACCTGATTTTGTGAGGGCAGAAGGCATCCAGGTGAGATCTTACACACCTATAATGTGAGTCCTGGAAAAAGAAAGAATTAAATTATTTATTATTTATTTATTATTAAGTTATTAAAGCCAGACAGACAGCACATGAACAATGTTCTTCCACTGCAGCACAATGACCAACAAATAATGTCATTGGATAAGCTCAGGTTCAGTGGGCGGGGCCATTGTAATAGCTCAGCCAATCAAACAGTTCTGTGCTTCCACAGCAGCTCTGTCTCTGTCTCTGATCTTTACTGCTTCATTTCTCTGTTGTCTTTGTCATCAGTCCAATGACACAAGAATCAGAGGTTTAACAGTGTGTGGCTCCCTCTAGTGGATGTTGTGGAGTATTCTGTTGTCTTTGCTCCAAAGGTTTTTGTACAGAGTTTTGCTGTTTCCTGTCACTGTGGGCCGCAGAGCACAGTAGTACACAGCAGAGTCAGACAGCTGAAGCTTCTGGATCTTCAGAGAAACTGATGTCTTGTTGAGTTCAGCATCAAATCTGTCCTTCGGGAACTCTTGAGTGTTTTCAGTTCCAGAAGCATCTCGCCGTAAAACATATTTCGGATAGTCGTTCACGTCCTGTTTGTACCAGAACAAATATGGAAATGCAGAAGTTGTTTCGTATTTGCAGTAAAGTGTAACTGTGTCTCCTTCAGCAGCAATGACATCTCCTTGTTCCTGGATCACTTTGTCTTCTCCTTTACACTCTGAGGAAGAACAGAACATGCAGAGGAAGAGATGGATCAATAAACATGATTAAAAACTCACCATTAATCAGACTCACACATTTATTTAAGCAGAGGAAACATGTTGATGTTTGTATCTCACCAAAGAAAAGAGCAGCAAGAATAATCCACAGCCAATGTTCCATCTGTACAACAAGGTTTAAATCAACAGGAGAAACTAGCTGATGTTCAACATTCAGTCTGAGAATTGTTCTCTTCACAGCAGCACTTATTATTGACACAATGGTTGAACACAGTGCAGAAGGAGAGCCCCGCCTACTGGATGATGTCGCCCTCTGTCTCCTCTTTGAGTCTGACTTCTCTCACTTCCTCTTCCTCCTGGTTCACAGACTGTTAGCAGCATTTGAATCACTGTGAGGAGGGAGGATGGAGCACTTTGCACTGTGTGCAAACACAACGAGCCAAATGTTCTCCATCACTGAGCTCCTTAATGCTTCTTGTGTTCTCTTATGTTTGTTTTAGTATAAGATCTTTAAGTTTGACATGAACAGCAGAAAGGATTTATCGTGGTTCGTACTAGAATGAGACATGAGTCACACAGGGACTGATAAACAACACTATAAGGTAAAATAGCATTTAATGTTTGACAAAACAATAAAAACTGAAAAGAAAGAAGTTGTCAGGAAGTGAAATCATTGGTTTTTATCAAGAAATGTGGCCCCTGGAATTCAAATGCATTAAACCAGATGTTAAATATTTAAGATTTGAATAAACCTGAAATGTAAATTTGTTATCAGCCAAACAACAGATCAAAAATAAATTGCTCGAATACTGTTAGCTTTCCTCCTGTGTGACAGTACGGAGAGTGTGTTGTGTTGTTGTTGTGTGAGCTGAGTGTGTGAGCTGAGGCAGCAACGATGCCTTCAGTTCAGTATCTGAGAGAGTTCATCAACGAGCGACTAACTGCTGCTGCTGAACAAATATTCTTGGAGTTTGAAAAAACGATCGTCCAGTACGAGGAAGAGGTCGACCGTCAGCGCAGACTGCTGGATATCACCTGGAAACCCCAAATCAAGCTGCACAGGACAGGTGAGTGTCCCTCTGAGGGAGGATCCTGATCACAGCTCTGCGGGACGTTTCTGATTGTGAGGACTTTTTGGAGATGTGAGCTAACAAAGAGCAAACAGAGGACAGGACTGCGCTGCGCTCCATGCAAACAGCAGGCGCTGAAATCAGCCTGGATTTTAGTGTTCTTTATGTAACAGCAAAAAGTTAGAACTGTGAAGATATTACATTAAAAGTAAATCTATCGTTGAAAATGTAAAGTGTAAATAATCCGGTATGTGTGCGTTAAGATGCTGAAGTACAGAGGCAGACATCTCCCTGTGCGTCTTCTTATATTCTGATTAATCATACAGTAAAATGGACGCGTCAGTGTGACTTCAGGTGCAGCTAATGATCGTTTTAATAACAGATATGATCATTTTCTATTATAACAGATATTCTGCTGATTGTGTTCTCAGTAGCTTGGTTTGTTCTGACGGTCTCGGAGCGGCCTTAGCTTTGCACTGCAGTGCAACATTCAGGTGGTTTCTTCGTTACAGGCATCATGACGTCGCAGCCCTCATCATGCATCAGTCTCCAGGCAGGTCCACGTGTCACCGTCGGGTGTTTCATCCACGGGAACAACATTAGCACTGGCAGCACTCATACAGCTATTTTTAAAAGACAACCTCTGGATGTGACGCTGAGCACGTGCACTCAACTTCTTTGGTCGACCATGGCGACGCTTGTTCTGAACCTGTCCTGTTAAACTGCTGTATGGTCTTGGCCACTGTGCTGCAGCTCAGTTTCAGGCTGTTGGCGATATTCTTAAAGCCTAGGACATCTTTATGTACAGTAGAGTAACGATTTTTTTTTAATATATCCTCAGAGAATTTCTTTGCCATGATGTGCGATTTTAGACTTCCAGTGACCAGTATGAGAGAGAGCAATAACACCAAATTCAACTGTCATATCTTCAATGTTGTCCCATGAAAAGATGTAACAAAATATTTACAAACATGTGAGGAGTGTACTCAGTTTTTTGTGTTATAATAAATGATGTTTGTCACCAGTCTGCCTCTGGGTGAAGTCGGAGGCTCCTCTAGGATTTTCTTGTGCGCCAGAGGAACACAAACTTCTTATTTTCTGTCTGACCTCCATCATTTACAAACTGTCATCAGTGTCAC